TGTGTTTGTTCTGCCTTTTGGAATGTGTTTTTACCACAGAGCAAAACAAATTTCTATGTTCTCCTGAACAATGACAATAAAATATGATTGATTGATTGATTGATTGATTGATTGAACAGAAACACATGAGTCTTGTAATTCTTTTAGTTTGATTGTTTAGATTTAATGTATTTAGGCCTATTGCAGAGTGACAGATGGTTGGTTAACGAAAACGGTTTCAAATTGTCCAGGTAGACCCAAGTTAATCTCGGTCGGGTTTGGGCAACATAAAGTTATTTTAATTGATTATCATGTGCTCTAAAACTTGATAATGTCTTATTGTTGATTACCGTGAAGCAGGAGGTAAACGCCTAGACGTCTAACAGAACCGCTATTAACAAAAAAGTAACACTGCGCCCTCTCTGTCTGAATGTGCTAATCATGCCACTTAATTTCGAACAATACATTAATGAGTAGGCCTACGCATCGCGTGTGGGTTTCCGCTTCTTTTTTTTTTACGAATTACCCTTTGCATGTAATGATAATTATAGTAAAGTGGCAAGAAGACAATCGGTTGTATTATGCAGATTAAAAAAAACGTGAATTAGACTGCTGTAAAGCTATCCCGGCCAGAATGAACTGTCCTTACTCCTTTCAGAACAAAATTGCAATGTTCATTCTCTATTCACTTGCACAGTAATGAGCATTATCATCATTGTCGTCGTCTTTGCCGTCGTCAACATCATAGTCATCCTTCATCATCGTCGTCATCGTTATCATCATTTTTCATCATTATTATCATCATCACCCTTATCATCATCCTTAGTTTAAATCCTCATTATTCGTCGTCATCATCATCACCATCATATCATCGTCATCATCATTGGTTTATATCATAAGGTCGTTATTATTGGTCGTCATCATCATCATCGTCGTTATCGGAATTATGTATCATCATCATCTCTCACTACAGTATTATTACTTATTTGATGACACTACACCTTTGTATCGGTGGCACTCACAAACTGTGGTACTGTCTTTTGGAGTACACAATAATTTTAATGAAAACGAACTATTATTATTTGAATTATTAGATATTATATTGAAACCAAAATACAGAACAAGAAGCATAATCAAAAGTTTTTTTTTTGTCTGGAATAACCCTCTGTATTGCTAATACATGTGGTTTATAATTACATTTCATTAGTATTTTCTATAAGATATAAATTCATATACTGTATGCCCTTAATGTCGAAAAAACATCAGCAAAATCAATAACTTAGTTTTGTTGGGAATAGGCCTACAAGCTGTATTATTAACGTTTTTTTCTATACCTGAAATGTAGACAAAATAAAAATAGATAACATCCTCATTTGTGTACTCAAATGATAATTTATGGTAACTAAAGGCAATCTTTTGTTTGTTTAACTCGTCAAACATAAAGCCGAAATCAAAACAAAAATTACGAACAAGCTAGCTATTCCCTATCAAGCTCGAAAGTTTGTTTCCATAGGGGTCGGCGAAAACAGTTGTTTATCGCAGGTTGCAGCAATGGAACTTGATTGTTGAGAAAATAAACGATAGAAGAGATGAGGAATTAGAAGACAAGCATAAAAACAAGTGCATACGCTGGCAATATTGCACGGCAGAGAAATCTTTACTCATTCATCAATGCTCAGTGAACATACGACGACACATTTATCAACATTTAGTTTAATGTATTGTGCACATTCATCAAAATTACGTGAGTGCATCTTCACATGAACACGAACTTTAAAGTAGGCACACAATAATTCACGATCATCAAACGACATAGTAAATAATAATTGACGGGAAACAGACGGGACTGCGAAAGATTCGTTCTTTGCCAGTGGCCTATCTAGGGGAGGGCGCCCCCCCCCCCAAAAAAAATCACGGTGAAGTAGTTAAAAATCGCCTAAAATCACCATATTTTGCGAATTAGCGCCCCTCAACTGATCATCGAG